TTGTTAAGTGTTTTATAAAATTCACATACAAGCTAGAAAAAAAATCATATAAGTTTGGCTCATATTATTAATTATAAAACTAATATAAAGCCAAATAATGTTTACAAAGCCAAAAATGTTTCATCAGAAAGAATTCAACTTTTTAGTCATTACTATCCAAAAGTTTCTAAAATTTAGATATATATATACACATATATATATATATATATATATATATATATATATATATATATATATATATATATATATATATATATATATATATATATATATATATATATATATATATATATATATATATATATATATATATAAATTTTAGAAACTTTTGGATAGTAATGACTAAAAAGTTGAATTCTTTCTGATGAAACATTTTTGGCTTTGTAAACATTATTTGGCTTTATATTAGTTTTATAATTAATAATATATATATATATATATATATATATATATATATATATATATATATATATATATATATATATATATATATATATATATATATATATATATATAGTTATATTATGTTTCAAAGCATGACTAGAGCATGTCAAGTAAATGTTATATATATATATATATATATATATATATATATATATATATATATATACACATATGTATATATATATATATATATATATATATATACATATGTATGTATATATACATATGTATATATATACATATATTTGTATATATATATATATATATATATATATATATATATATATATATATATATATATATATATATATATATATATATATATATATATATATATATATATATATATATATATATATATATATATATATATGTATATTGATATATATAAATGTGTGTATATATATATATATATATATATATATATATATATATATATATATATATATATATATATATAATATATATATATATATATATACAAAAGCATTGCATACTAAGAGAAGCAATCTGACATCATACTGAAATAGCCTGCTGCTAGGGGCTTCAGTACATACATCGACTGACAAATAGCCTGACTCGCAGTGGAGTGCTGCTACATCGACTGAGGGTTTGGGATGGGGCAGTAATTATTTTATTCATCATTCTTCGTTTTTTTTTCTTCTTTTTCGAAAAAAACGGTATAACGTAAGGTAAGCAGAAAAAGTGAGCAAATGCTTATCAAAACACGCTTTAGTAAGTGTGTGTAAATATATATATATATATATATATATATATATATATATATATATATATATATATATATATATATATATATATATATATACATTTGTAACAGTATGTGTATTATAACCAAATGCAAAATACATTTTATTTTTAATATAATTTTATAATAACATTAATTTTAAAATCTAATAAGTGAATAAATAACATACATAACTTTTTTTACAATTAAAGGAATAAATCATTTAAACTTAATATTTTAATATTTTTAATATGTTAATATATTTAATATTTTAATATATTTAATATTTAATACATTATTGCTTATTTATTATAAAAGTAAACATATTTGTTTAAGCCTGTTTTTATTGGATACCATTTTTTATTTTTCTAACATAATAGAAAATTCCTCCTATAACAATTTTAACAGTAAGGTATAGCAGGGTTAAATTTTGGTCTTAACAGCCTTCTGATAACTAAATTTACTCCTGTCATTAACCAAACAGAGTCATAAGAATACGAGTTTATTTTATCACTGGCATTAAAAACTGCTGTTTTATTTTTAACCAGCTGATAGCTTATCACAGGGTATGACAGAGAGATGTGAATGCGGCTGCAGGTCATAATTTTAGTGAAATATAAGGCAAATCACCTAGGCAAATTTTCTCTAATTTCAAATTTTAAACTTTTAGTTACTCCCCAATTTTTTTTTCCCCTAAAATCAACACACCCTAAGAACAGAAGCATTTTAGTTTCAGTTTTAGTTTTTTCAAAGTCTGTATATAATCTGCTGAGTCTGCATATAATACTGTTTTAGATAAACAAGTTTTCCTGTTCCAATGTGACCATAATTTTTAATGTGTTCTGAGAGGAAAGAATCAAATTTTGTGATCAATTTAAGAAGTTCAAGAAATTTATATTGCTCTGTTCTCCAAATGACTAATTAGAAATTAAATTTTTTCCAATTTTTTTTCAATCAAAGTACAAAGCACAGCAATCACCCGACTAAAAACCATTCTCCAATATTTTTTTTCTTTTTTAGTATCATCTTTAAGACATATGCCCAATGTTCTTTTGATTAATAAAGAACTTTACAAACAGAGCATAAAATTAAAAAAAGAATTTTTTTTTGCTAGCAATTATATCAACCACTCACAGTTGCAACTTTCAGCATTTGGTTTTTTGAATTATGAAAAACAATTTTTGAAAAAATTTTTGATTCTTAAAAACCTGTGTCTATTTGCTACATATAATATTTCCTTGAGAAATCCAAAATGAGATATCCTCCTTTCAAGTGTTTCTCATGAGCCAATGTCATTATTTCTGTTGATGTTTAAGTCATAGTATTCAACGAATGATTCAGAAACTTTTGACTACATATACAGCATTTTTAGAAGCTAATTGTTCTGGTTCAACAAGTTTAAATTAAGAATGAAATTATTCTTAAAGTGAAGACAAAGTTTATTTATTTAACTCAAGTATCAGGTGTGGTGGAATAGTGTTGCAAAATTTTTATTGTCGCAAATTTAATTGTCGAAAATGTAAAAAAGGAATAGTGTAACAAAATGTCGTACTAATGATTGTAAAATAACAGAATAAGAAACAATGCCACAAATAAATTTAATGATTAGTGTCAAAAATAAAAAAAGGAATAATGTAGCAAATGAATTTAATGAATAATGTCGAAATCAAAAAAAAGGAATGTCGCAAATGAATTTAATGAATAGTGTCAAAAATAGAAAAAAAGAATAATACTCCCAAATGAATTTCATGAATAGTGTCGAAAATAGAAAAAAGTAATAATCTCGCAAATGAATTTAATGAATAGTGTCGAAAATAGAAAAAAGAAATAATGTTCTAAAGGAGTTTAATAAATAGTAACAAAAATAAATGAATACTAACAACAATAAATGTGTTTTAATATCTGATGTCATATTGAAATAGACTGCTGCCAGGAGCTTCGATACATACACCAACTATCTTATAGCCTGCTGCCGCAAAGAAATGCCGCTACATTGACTGAAGGTTTGGGGTTTGGTAGCAATCTTTTCAATAATTTTTCTTTGTTTTTTTTTTTGTTTTTTTTTTTCTGTTAAAGCCATATACTATAAAGATAAGCAAAACGAGTAAGCAATTGCTGAAATTAACAATTTGCAACTCTATTCCTTTTTTTTGTTTTTGACACTATTCATTAAATTCATTTGCAAAACAATTCCCTTTTTTTGTTTTCAACACTATTCATTAAATTCATTTGTGACACTATTCCTTTTCTTTTGCAACATAAGGCCTTTTTAACATATTCAACACTATTCTGAAGTTCATTTTTCAACACTATTCCTGTCACCCAAGTACTACTGTTGATGTTCACAGAGACAAAGTTTACTTATATTAGTCAAGTATTGCTTATCAATTCAAATTAAAACTTATGTGATCTTAAACTTGATAAACAAAGATCATGAAAATAATATTTTTAAAAACAAATCTTAAAATAGAAAACTAAAACATTTTTGAGCCCCTTTTGGGGCCTTTAAAATTGTGGAGCTCTAGGCCGCTGCCTAGTCAACCTATAGGTAAACTTAGCACTATTGGTGTGGCTTGGAATTGAGCATTACGGGCAGCTATGTCTTCTCTAGGCTTATATGAGTAGCCTGGTAGTCAGGGTGTTACCCAGCCTGATGGCACCGCGTATAACGCGGTATTCCCAATTGGTTTAAAATTCCCAAAGGTTTATAAGATCATAGTAAAAAAAAAAAAATTAAGTCAGTCTTAGATTTAAAGTGTCGTGCTAGACTATGCATGACCAAAAAATGAATTAAATTGATTTTTTTTAATGTGTAAAAACGTGTCGTCATTAACAAGCGTCATTAACCTTAACAAGATCATTTATTCTAAAGTTAAAAAAAAACTTTTTTTAAAAATTTTTATTGATGTCACTTATTCTTGAGTTCAGATTTTTCTTTTTTTTTTTTTTCTTTTTTTTTCGCGTTTTTCTTGAAATACATAATTAAGGCGTTTTGAAAAACGACTGCAGTATATCAAAAACAAAGATAAGAAGCAATTTAAATGAAAACTTTAGAAGATTGCTCATAATGAAACAAGTTGATTAATTAAAATTAAATATAAATTAGAAAATTTTTTTAAACCAAAATTTAATTGCAGAATGTAAGGACCTTTTTTTTTTTTTTTTTTTTTTAATAGCCGCTACTAAATTCCCAATTTCGCAAAAATGCCGTATTAAATTTTTTCCTGGGTAACACCCTGGTAGTATCCTAACAAAAATACTTAGCCATGATCTGCAATCTATATACTTTTATGGATTTAGTTCAGCACTGTCCTAATATATTTTAAACATTTCAAGTGTTAAAATTTTAAATAGCAAAAAAAAAATTTTTTTTCATAACTAAAGTCCTTCATACCTAGATAGTACTTGCGCAAACCCAAACCTTCAGTTTAGTACATACATTTACTGGGGTTTTATTAACTGAAGGTTTGAGTGAGTGCAAGTTGAGTTTAGTATGATGTCATTGACAATATTTAAGGTGAGGCCAAGTGCATAAATATTCTTGTATGTATGTGTATACATAGTGCTCAAAGTAAGGTAAGATCAGGCAGATTGCCATCCCACCACCTTTTTATAAAGTATAAGCCATCTTGACACTTTTTTATTTAGCATATCAATTAGATGAGATAGTGTTTTGAAATTACTAAAAACCATCATGTTACTTTTTTTTTTTTTTGCCACTTTAAGCTCTTTAAATATAAAGTCAGATATTTATACAGTGTTTAGTAATTACAAATTAAAAGTCGTGTTACTTTCAAAAAGTTGAACTTACCCAAGTGTATCTTGTTGTGAAGCATGGTTTATTTCTTTTGTTGATACCTTATTTTTTGATTGAGTGAAAGCATCATATGCTGCATCCGATAAGTCATTATCGTCAACAAAATTACTGCATAAAATAGACAGTTTTACTGAAAGTGCCCCATTACTGTCCAAAAATGGACTTTCATCAGAAATTACCTAAAAAGAAGTTTCATTTAAAATTATAGTATTTTTTATTGAATCATTTGAAAAAGATTACAGTAAGATAAATAGTAAAAAAAAAAATGCAACAAATTATTTAGGATTTTGACATTAAAATTTAAAATAAAAAACAATTTAAACAAAAATAATTTAAACAAAAAAAAAACTAAATAGATTAAAAAAATAAATAGATCTCTCAGTAAATATAACCAATCCAAAAAATACCTCTTTAATTTTTATCACAAAGATGAATTAGCAAATGTTTAGACAAAGCGAGATTCAATAGTTTACACTAAGATTTATTTTTAAAATAGTTTATGGAAAATTATTTATTGAAGAAAAATATGAAAAGAATTTAAGAAAAAATGTGAAAGAAGAATTTAAAAAAAAAAAAGTAGTTAGTACTCTTAAGTCCTTAATACAAGAGGGAGTGGGAATAATAGGGTGGGTGGGAATTTATAGCATATCTAATAAACTAGGGGGTTTTATTAAAAGAGGGGGGGGGGGAGGATTTTTGATGTTTTAGCGTGGCTTGCAGTCAAATGTGTATTTTCTAACAGCTGTTTTATGATAATTTCAATAGGATTTATTATCCTGCTTTAAGTTTTATAATTTGTGAGAAATAAACCAAAAATTCATTTTTAATAAATCAAGATTTTTCAGGTCAACAAATTTTAAAGTTTGTTTACACTGAAAGTTTTTTGTCATTATCGGTGACTGAAATAATTATTTTCTAATTTTTAAGACCGATTTTCATTGAATATTTTTATAGTTTTGAGATATAAAGTTTTTATTGATAACAAGTAAAAATTAATTAACAGGAGTGTCTTAATAAGGTTGGGGTGGGTGAGAAATTTTTCAAGAAATAATAAACTTCCCTTCTTCCCCCCCCCTCCCCTTTTATTTATTAAGGACTCGAGAGTAAGCACATTTTTAAAATATTTTTTTTAATTAATAAAAAAGTTTGAAATCCTAATAATTGTTTGAAATTCCCTTTAAAATAGTACCAAACAAATTATTCACATAAAATGGTACCATGTTTATCTATGATGAGTAATATATAAGTTTTTGAACTTAAAACCATTAAAAATTATTACAAAAATATATACAAAATTCTGGCATTTTTTGTGATCAGGTTTTATAAAACTTGATGAGCAATTAAAGTATTTATAATCTTAAAATGCAATTATTTAATCAAGACATGGAAAAAGGGTTGGGATATAGATAGCATAGTAACTTGTATAGTATAAATACTAATTTATGTTAAAAAAATGATAGGTCAGCAAAAAATTTAATTTCCCAAAACCAACTCAATTTAGAATCCTCTGCATTTTCCTCATTCATTTGTCTGTTTTCCAATAAGCTACTAGTAAAGTACTTAATTTATCTGAGGTAGTTTTTGGACACTTTCAGAATCAATCTCTAAATAAATAATCAGAATTATTTCAGACTTGTTCAATTTCTTCAGACATGTTCAATCTCTTCAGACATGTTAAATCTCTTCAGACATGTTCAATCTCTATGCCTATAAATGACTTGAGATTTTCTTTAAACATCATGTGTAACATTTCTCGTCTGAATCAAAATAGTAAATAGTAAATAAAATAGTTACTGAATCAAAAATTTTATCCTTAGCCATCAATTCTTCTTTTAAACTCTTTTTATTTGCTTTTCAAATTTATTTCTGACTTTTTTTTTATCCAATCAATCAAGACCTTTTTTATTTCTTAATTGTCTTTGTTTTTTCCAGTTTGTCTAGCCTGAACATTCCTTTTAATGCAAAATGTGACCTGTTCCTCTCTTCAAAAGTTTGAGTAAGAAGCCAATCCACAGAGTGGTTGGCCTTAACTTTTGTGACACTATCTGCAGTGTATTAAATTCAATAGTCTATAATTAATACTAAGCCAACATAGAAGGCTTTATTCTTCATATAATAATATGTAAACTATAATATACAAACAGGTTAGTTTTAGTTTAAACATAATAAAACTCAACAAGGATAATAAGAAAAAGATTTAGCACATTCTACAATATTATATAAGTTCAAATAGTTCAAATATAGCAAATTAAATATTCAAGATGATTTCAGGATCTTCCTGAACAAGGAGAGTCTGGTTTTTCAATAGAAATTCCATTAGGATTTGTTGGAGAAAGAGTAGAAAAGTTTTTAGATCTTTTAGGATGGAGAGGCTCAGGTGAAGGGATTGTATCAGTTTCATTAGAGTTATCTTTGTAGTTATTATTTCCATCATTATCACTGACAATATCACCCATTGGTGCAAGATGTCTAGTAGCAATAGCGGTCTCATGTCCATCAGGCATTCTTACATGAGAATATTTACTATTTGCCCCTAAAAGCTCAATCTTTTCAACCAGAGGTTGAAGATATTGAGCTTTTAGAAGCAAATTTATATTATTATTTTCATAATAAAATAAATAATTATTTGAAATTATAGAAAAACTTCTAAAAAACCATTCATATATATACCATGTCAAAATGATGCTTGGTTTCCTCTGAATAAAAAACGACCATTAACAGTTCAGTTTTCATTCAATCTGCATTACCTACAAGACCAAGTGCTTGCAGGTGGGTGCAGATTGAGTTATTTTTCAAATCTTCTAATAAAGAAGTCATTAAGGATGTTTGACTATTGCCTGACTTTTCTAGGAAGTTAATAAATTTCTATGTATGAACACAACCCATAATATAAAAAATGATGTGTAGTCTATTAACACATTGATTAAAAATCCCACAGGATTGATTTTATCTTCTTGATGAGTCACATTTTATGACCTTTTAAGAAAAGTTTAAAGCCAGATGGGTTACTTTTGTCTTCATATCTAAAGATATATATAGTTTCAAATTAAATAAATTGCAGTTTTTTAAAAAAATGAAGCATTTAATAGATATATTATATTTTTCCAAACAAAAAGTATAAAAAAATGGTTTTAAAATGTAACAATTTGTAAGACTACAATATTTAATAAAAAAAAATGTTATAATAAAGATTATAATATTTAAATTTTGTGATATTTGTAATCTTAACTTACCTTAATTTTGAAAAGCTGTGTAGAAGGTTAGCTACTCAACAGTCTTGTCCAAAGATTGTACTTGCAGAAGACAAGTTAAACTTTTATATATTTTTTTTACATCATTCGCAATGCCATATAGTTAGTGCAGATAACAGTGCAGTTTCAGTGGATAACAGCTGCTGAAGAACATCATTAGAATGCTAACATAGATTTTCTTCTTTATCTCTGCAGCACTAACACAGTTAAATAATGAATATGTAGCTGTCTTTAAGTGTGTCAAGAACATGTTGAACATTGTCTTATGTTAAACATACTCTGTTCAAAATAAGGCTATGCTCATATAATATATGTAAAGAACAATATTGCATTTTTTTTCTTTCCAAAACAGCTTAACAACCTCAGTCTGTTCTTGTTTTAAATGGAAACAAGATGAAACATTGACCGGTGTTACAAGCTGCATAACTGGTATTGACCTATTGATTGCAGTTAGTATATCAGGAGTAAAAGGTTGTGATTCAGGAAATTTAAATGCTTTGGAAAGATAATCCTCAAGTAATGACCAATTACTGTTTACTTTCTTTTTTAACATTTTATTTGTTTATTTATATGAATAACTGATGTTCTAAGAAAGAACTTATTCAGATGAAGGTGTGAAAAAATTCCAGAAAAACATGTTTGCAATTTGTGTTCAGAAATATCTAGTTATACAAATAAACAATTAATAAAATTAAATAAATAAAAACAACAAATTAAATTTCCATATTTTCTTGAAAAAGTTTCTATATCTACATATTTTAACTTAATTCTTAAAAGTATAAAAGTGAAAAAATAAAAAGTATAAAAATGAAAGTTTTTTTAAACTTTTTTCTTTGTTATATATATTTATTCATATATATTTATTTATAACACGCTATAAGCATATTTATTTATTCATTAATATTGATTATTATATACTAAACTATAGATATATCATGGCAGATAGCTTATGTGCCATCTTGGGTACACATAAAATGTAATGACCTTAACAATATAGAGTATCAGTTACTCAAAAAATCATCTAATAATGATTCATGGTTTTGTAAGAATCGTCTGAGCTCTATATTTCCATTCAACAACAAATATTCCATTAATAGTGGCTCGAATAGCATTAAGAAAAAATTTGTTCATCACCCTTTAAAAAATCTCAAATCAAAATGATACCTTTAATAATCTCTAGTGTGAAGCTGAACATAAAATAAAATCAGTATTTAATAGCTTCTACACTGATATCAGTGGTTTAAGTCATCTTTCTAATGATTAAAATTCTTTTAATCTTATTCACCTAAATATTGCTTCCCTCTCAAAACATTGATGACTTGGAACATTTATTAAAATCGACTCAACTAGAATTTGATATTATCGGAATAACAGAAACTAGATTAATTAATAATATTCCCAACTACGAATACCTCGCTCAATGGTTACTGTTATGAACATACACCCACAGAATCACAAGCTGGAGGTACTCTTTTACGCATTAATAATAATTTTATATATAAGCCTCGAAAATATTTTCATGTTTACAAACCAAAAGAATTAGAATCTGTTTTTGTTGAAATAATAAACCCTAAAAAATCTAATATTATTGGTTGTATATTTAAACATCCATTAATGACAACAGATGACTTTAATGAATTCTATATTTTTCCATTACTTGAAAAACTTTTTAAAGAAAATAAAACTGTATTTTTACTAGGTGATTTTAATATAGATTTAATTAAAAGTGACTTGCATTCGATTCAAGAGTTCTTAAATTTACTATCCTCTAACTACTTCTTAATAGTTTCAATATTTCGATTTCTGAGGAAGTCTTTCCTGATATTTTAAAGACTGCTAAAATTGTTCCTATTTTTAAAAAAGACTCAAAGTTATAAGTATCTAACTATAGACCAATATCCCTGCTCTCAAATATTGATAAAATTTTA